TAACAAGTGTAAAGTCCTAGGCTTTTAAATGGCCATGGGCATCTAAGGAAGGACCCCCCTACAATGGGATCACTCTACTTACAGTACCCACTGCTTGACGGCGAGTATTATTGTAAGCGCGAATCCCATGAGTAGAGGGGATCAATTCTTCATCTATTATTCCTAGCTTCTTTTGCAGTGCGGAGTGGGCATACATTGATTGTAGAGCCATTATCAACCAGGGTCAAAGGATCATTCATTTGCCTACACACCACAGTGAGGTGTAATGCCTTGTTATGTTTGTCCCCTTCCGGGGGCAGATCCTTGTCAAAGAAAGAAATCAGATTACTAGTACTTGGCAATTATGTAGTGAGAAAGGTGACTAGCCCTTGAGGATTCATACAATTATCAACTCCTACTTTTACTAGAGCATTCATCATAGCCTTTCGATGCTCGTGAGAGGTAGCCAAAAGATTCCATACATTCATTTCCACCTTGTCTTTTGTAATTGTTTGTTCACATCGTTGTTCAGAGGGTCGATGGGATCAACTATTGGTTGTGATTGCGCTGGAGGTGGAGGTGGACTAGGCTGTTGCAACCGTCCATTTCTTGTGAGAACCTTGACCTCAAGGTCTCCCTAAACATCTTCACTGGTGCCAAGAGACGAATAGGTTATATCTTTGAGATAGAAGTCTTCATTGTCACTATCCCAAATTCCATTCACTTCTTCACAGTTTGAAACAAATACAACTTCTGGTAGAGGTTCATTCACAGGTTGAATGAGTACTCATGGATCAAAGGAGAATTCATCTCCCATAATAGCCAAAGCATAAGAAAGGGGACCTGTTTGAATATTAGGCTTCTTGCCCTCTGTAGGGACACGAAGCTAATTAGCATCAATCAGGTCTTGGATTGCATCCTTCAACCTCCAGCACTTCTCAGTATTATGACCTTTTCCTTGACGAAACTTGCAATGAGCATTGGGGTCATAGCTAGCACTTCTATTCTCTGGTCGAGGATCTGGAAAGGGTTCAATTGGCATAACCAGTACTTGGCTATGCAAGCGATCAAAAGCAGCCTCGTAGCTCATTCCTAAAGGTGTGTAAACCCTCCTTTGCCTTTGGAATCTCTGAGTGGGAACATTAAGAGATAAAACATCATTAACATTAATTTTGTTGGTAGCATTATAAGGCTTGGAAGATGAAGAAGAAGGAGTGTCGTTCTTCTTGTTTTTCCAAGTGATGTTTCTACTAGAAATCTTCATTAATTCATCTTTGATATTGATCCCAATGTCGTACACAGCTTCTAAGGTATTCAAAGGAAGAAATTTAAAGTGCTGCTTGTACTTATGAGTCAGATTTGCAATAAATAGGCGAACCATCTCTTTCTCCTTGGTAGGATCCACCAAGAGTGCAGCTGTTTCTCTCCACCTTCTTAAATAAGTAGTGAAGCCTTCATTCTCCTTCTGTTTGAGAATGGAGAGTTCATGTTCATAAGTCTTGGATGATACACTTGTAGCGGTTCATAAAGCTTTCAGTAACATCCTCCCAAGTCGCAACATGTTTGGATTCCAGAGAGTAGAACCACTATTGGCAAGCATGCTCTAAGGAAAGAGGGAACACAGTAGGGAAGAGTGTCACATCTTATCCCTTAAGAGCCATGGTCGCAGAAAAATCCTTCAAGTGGAACATCAAATTATCGGTAGGCTTGAACTTAGGAATGTCAGTAGTGGAAAACTTTTCGGGAAGCTTGTCCCTTATGGACGAAGAGGTGACAGGTTGTTCCACATAGGTGAACTCTTCAGAGATCTTACTCATTTGTTCTCTATCTTTTCCATTGTAGTGGTAGTGACATTGTTTTGATTGTCTTGCTCTACTGTGTTGACCCTAGTGGTGAGTGTTTGCATCATGTTAGACAACATCTCAATGGTCTTGTTAATGTTCTCAATATCCTCCTTAGTAGCCATTGGTTAAAAGTAGACTGGACACGGACTTTGTGGAGACGATTGTGGAGGTTTCCTTGTACGCCTCTTTGGTATAAGAGGTTGTTGAGGTATTGAATTGAACCGTAACAATCTACCTCTGATTCTTGACCAAGTGCTGTGACATCGAACAAATACACCTTTAATGACTAGACTTAACCTTGACCTATCCGGAAAAGAAAAAGGAATTTTTTTTTTATTTTTGAAATTTTATTTATTTTCTAAAATAATTATGTATAGGAGGATACCATCCGACTTACTCTGAAAAAAACAAAACAAAAAACTACACAAGACCATCCTAAAGTACGGTCATAAAATGGTGCACGGCTAAAGGAAAAGTGTGTGAACTTGACACGACATGTGAGTGATTAAGTGAGGTTATGGACACGTGTTATGATCGTACAGCTAGACATGACATCAAACTAGACATACGAACCACATAAGCACGCACAAAGACAAAAAAAAGATTGTCTGGACAAACCTCCTGGGCTCCGTGTCACGGCACTGACTGTCGTGACACGGTACAGTGCACCGTCAGACAGCACATTGCACCGTGTCACGACATTGCACACCGTGGCACGACAGATCTTCCGTGACATGTTGCAAAATTCCAGGCCTAAATTTTTCGTAATTTCAAGGTTTTAATCAATTTTAAATTTGTACTAATTACTATGTGGAAATAAAAACCCTCGTTCTTTGGTTAAACAAAATGAGCAAACATGTAGGTTAACATCAAATAAACCACGTAGCATTTAGTCATGATGATGTTAAAAGAGTTCGCAACCTAAGGTTAAGATCTATGTTCAACTATTGGTCAAGCTTTGGGTGTCAAAAGGGTACCATGTTTAAGAATTTGGACGCGTTAGTAAGGAAGCCTCCCTTGAGGGTGTATGCAAACAGGCGGCTCCGCGTGTTCGTGATGAAATCGAATTTGACTCCATGGTTTTGGTGGATTTCATAACTCGGATGAACCCTTATTTCCATGAGCGTTTTTGGGTTGATAGAGCTAAAATCCCCCAGGGCTAATACGTATGTAGAACACACACGTTTTTTAAGAAAAACCGAAGGAAGTTGACTATGAGAAGAGAAAATAAGCCACTGGACTGATTTAATGATTGTCGTGACATGACAAAGTGCACCATGTCACGGTACTGCACACCACATGACGGTGTACTGCACCGTGACACGGTAGAATCTGCCGTGGCGCGGCAGTCAGAAAATCTGACTGGTGCCCTGTTTTCCTTCGTTCGCAATCAAGTTATTCAATTTTTCATACGAGACATACCTAAATGCGATGTTAAAACGTCTATTCTTATGCAAAAATGCCAAATTAATCACAGGAATAATTTTCAATAATCTTTCAAGTCTCATCCACTCATCTTAATTAAATACTGATCACTCAAATCGATAAATAACCAAGAATCCTCCCCAGTGGAGTCGCCAAATTGTAGGCGTCGTTCGAAGTGCGCCTACGTTAAAGAATGTGGTGAATATGCTTGGAACTCATAGGAAGTGGGAATTGACATAATATGATTAGGGACAAGGAAAGTAGGGAGCCGCCAACAAGTTTTTAAGGCAACCACGATTAATGGACAACAATAGGCAACAACGATTGACCTGTGAAGGTTACACCGCATTCATAATCCATGAGATTACTAACTCCATATGGTTCGGTACCATGAAAGGAGGATCTGGGATGATGGTACGAAGTGAGTCATGGAGTCACATTCGCCCGTATTGGTCTCTACTCGATTCTTGTAGTGAAAAACATTCTTGCGATCTCAAAGGCATTCAAACAAAATATTCAATTTGCTATAAACTATTATTATGCTAAATTGGTTGAATATTAATACAACATATAATTCTAAAATATCGTGATCACTTGATTAAACAACAAGATTAAAAAGGAACCTAAACCGGTTGTCCAAATTATCTTGTTAGGCGTGTTTTTCAATTACATATTCCTTTTAACATGCAATATGGTGATCAATAAATATAATAAAACAAAGATTAATACTGGAAGCAATTTAGCAATAAATCCAACAATATAAAATCATTAGAAAAATAATAGAAATAAAAGTAACATAATTCTTACTATAACTCTTTTTGCTCGCAACTTTCACGCATTGGCTTAAGGACAGAACCTCGAGTAAAGTATGGACTCCTTGGAGTGCTTGAAGAGGGAATTTTGAAAGAAGAAGGGTAGGCTCGTGTTTAGGCTAATGCATAGAAGAAAGAAAAAGAAAGTTAACTGATGCCCCGTACATCAGAAATGATGGGGTATTTATAGGAAAAATGAGTAGTGGGAACACACAGAACCCTAAAAAGATAAAAAAAAACCCTAAAAACTAACATCGCGACACGGCAGAGAACACCGCAACACGGTGCCAGATATCGTCAGACGGGGGAAATTCCCGTGACACGGGGGAATACTGAGTGACGCGGGAAATTATTAGGTTACAGGAGATAAAACGCGTGAAGGGTTTACGCAGCACTACTACAAAAAAGGCCTAGAGAACTGTTATAATAGGCTTTATAGATCGCCTTAGGGGCGTTCTTCTGCTAAGCGATGTACAAAGTATAGAGAACGGGTTGTTTAGGCGTTTTGTATAATCACATATAGAGAACGGTTGTTAGTCACAATCGTTCTCTTTTCCTTTCTTAAATTCATACTCTAGGAAGGAATAAAGAACGGTTTAGGCCATTTAACCGTTCTATATTGCATTACAATAGAGAACGGTTAAGTTAGATAACAGTTCTCTAATGTTTTTTTAAATATCTAGCCATATGTATTTCTAATTACCCCTGTACGTATTTTATATTGTATTATTCATGTATTTTAATAATCTATATTATTTTGCATTTCATTTTAGACCTGTATGTGTTGTATTCCTGTTTTTTATCTTGTACATTTATCCTGTAAGAAAATTTTCACATTACCTATGTAAAAATAAATCCATGATCCTATATATGTGCAATATAAATTTCTGTATAATAAAATTAACAAAAATATTTTTAGATACGACGAATGCCATCAAAATGTACTTCATATATATAATTTAAAACATCCAACCAGAATTAAATTGAATCATCCATACAAAATTTGTTCTATACAAATAAATACATGAGTTTAATATCAAAATACCTTTGTAGTTAATGTTGATTTTAAAAAATAATGCTTAGATATACAAATACCATATTGATCTATAATTCACATAGGGATGACAACTTAGACAGCAAATCTCTCTTTGGTTCGGAATTTTCTAACAATCTTAAAGGCCAACTCCATTGGCATCAAATGATCAGCACCTGCCAGTACAAAATCATTAAATAAACTAGCTATCGAATCCAACAGGAACATTCACATTTTCTAAACAACCTCAAAAGCAAGATTATAAGAAAGGGAAACAAAAATTTTCATAACGGTATTTTTATAATTTGGCCAAGCGTATGATGATCCAAGGAAATATTGATTTTCTATATAAATGAAATGTTGAGAAGATCTGATTGCTTCAATGTATGTTGTTTGGATGCTCTTGTCTATCACCAATTTTTTTTACACAAAACAGGTTCTGCAATGAATACAGGTACATTGAGTCCAAATTGGCTTCATTATCAAAAATACATAGCTAACAGTACAGTTAGTGAAAAAGCAAAACATCGTGTTAACGAACCTGAGACTCAGCCTCATGAACATCCTTTGGAAATCCTTGTACATCACCTGAATCTATAAACCGGAAAACCTCCATCAACTAAGTTTTAGATAAGAGGTTTAAATTAGTAGCACTTCTAGGTACTGCATCCATTCTTCAAAATGTTGGTTGAATTTAACTCATATGAAAGGAAAAGCTAGATAAAGAAAAGAGTATGAAAAAGAAACATACGGAGTACTTTATAAATACCTGTTATTCTGCAATGTCACATTGTATTTCTTTAGATGACTTAGCAAAAGTGCCTATTAACTGTTAAGAGAGGAGAGCAGGAAATCAGATTATTGGGTTTAATTTTACCTATTAATTACTCAAACTGCTGCAACAAACCCCAAACTGTCTCCACTTCCCTTTTATACTCTTAGCTGGGAATGTAGGTAAGGTGTTTGTCAAAATTACCCAAACATTCTTACTCATTTTACTATTACTTAGCTTTTGATGATTCATCTTTGGTGTCACTAAGTATTCACAAAATTCATGTTTCGTTCCAATTCTTTCTCTTTTAAAGACATAATCTTAATTTGGTATCCAAACAAAATTCCAATCACCTGTTATTTTTCATGATCAACGGATAACAAAGGGTGGGATGTGTTGTCACTAGTGGCAATGTGGGATTATCAATTAAGGTTCTTACCTAATTCTCTTCACCATGCGCCTCCTGCAGGTGAGATTGTCATAAGTCAACAACCTTATGTTTCTGTCCCAAAAGACTTGTCCAGTTCCTCGATATGTGAACTCTGTTTATCTTCTGTCAAACTCAAGAAGCGCTCTACTTGTCACTTTGTGTCGTATTGTGGGAGTACTTGTCAGGTACTCTTATACCACAAACGCCATGACTACTCTTATACATCACTAGAATTAGATTAAATCATCACTGGATTTCAATCACAACATCTCATAACCAACCCTTTTATGAAAGAAAAGCAAAGAAAATCACTTTATCTAAAATAATTTGCAAATTAATGTATTTGAAATTAATAGAACATAATAATCTAGTGCTAATCAATTTCCCCTACCCCTCTTTCTTTATCTAATTAGGGTTCTATACTTGACCTAGGTAAGAATAATTTGGCGAAAATAATTTTGATTATTACTGAAATTTCTTGTAATTCGAATAAATTAAGTGTAATTTGATTGAAAAAACTGCAATTTTATTGAATTATTTGCGTTCATAAGAATTGATTGAATTATTTCCCAAAAACTAAAATTGAGAATTTTTTAAATCCACCAAAAATTCGATCGAAATTACTGTAATGGATGAAAAATATGAATTCACTAAAGCTGAATTGAAAAATTCGATTGATTAATACAATTAGATTAACAAACTCGTCCAAATCAAGAAAAATTTGAACGAATTACCTGGAAAGTGCAGTGGTGGTGTAGCGAAGTGGTGCGGGGCGGCGAAGTATACGTTTAATAGTTTGGCGGTGGGACTACGGTGAGGCGACGAAGCAATTATTGGTGAATTGAGCAACATGAGTGTAGGGAATATCTCAAGCATTATCTCAAACTTAAACCCCACTATGATCATACACTAAAGTACGGTGGCGTCCAAAGGGAAAAAAGATAGAGCAAAAGAGTCGCCAACAAGTTTTAGGAATTTGTAAACCATTCACAAGGTGAAGGTTACACCCTTAACGATCCAGGAGATCGTCAACTCAAATAGGTCTGGAACCATGACTGGTAGTTCGGAGATGAAGGTACAAATCAAACCTAGAAGAGATTGAACCTGCCCTAATAATAAGCCTCTACTTTATTCTGATCATATTGATGTAAGCTTTTTGACTAACATGCAATCAATAGGTTTACCCTAAACCTGTTTATCAATGTTGGTTGAATATTAATGCACAAATAAATCTATTATTGGCGATAACTTGAATTATAATCATATTAACCCTAAACAAGATTATTAATTATCTTATTAAGCGTGATTACAAGTACCAATTCCCGTTTAATCATGCATAAAAGGCGTGATCAAGCAATAACAATAAATATCAAGCAATATAATAATCATCATAATAATAATCATTATAAATATCAAAATCATGTTAAAGCATAATAATAGCAAGATCCTAAGCATGATACTAACAAGATTAATTACAAACCCTAGAATGTCTCTTAACAATTAAGATAAAATATATATCCCTAACATGATACTAACATGAGATTAGGAAGAGAAAATAAAAGGCATCGCAGAAAACACAATAAGCGTATTTGATATTATAACCTTTTCCCTAAACATAATACTAGGAATCATTGTTGGCATCGAAAACTTCAAGCATCCTAACATGATACTAGGAATCATAATAACAACCTAGACATGATTTATATATCATAATATAAATAAATCAATTAAAGCACTTACTTGGATGGCTCGTATCTCTTTCTAATAACAAAATACACACGTTAGTAACTTCAAGGAAAATAATAAAACAAACAATTAAATTAAATTATTGAATGAGAGATTTGGGACCAAACCCTCATAAATTAACACCTTTCACGTCTAGGCCGAAGGAAACTTCGAACAATGCTAGGTGTTTCTAGGTGTTGTGAATGCGGAAATTTGTGTAAATGTTGGTTTAGAAAAGAGATAGAGAGAGGGCTTTAGCTTTTAGAGAGAAGAGAATTAGAGAATTCTTGAGAATTGATGATTGTAGATGATTGAAAACGTAGTTTTTAGGAGGATATATATAGAAAAATTAGTCGAAAAGATAGAAAAACAAATCAGAGTTTCGACGTGAAAAAACGAAGTTAGCGCCAGGCGCTAACGCTAGCACCAGGCTTAACGCCAGGCGCTAATAATTGGCGTTAGGCTCTAATCAAAGTTTTTACGTGTTTTCTAAATTCAGATAAAATTTAACTTTACAAAAGGTAAAATTGTATTTTCCTTAAACACTCTTTTATTCTGATTAAAACTCAAAAAAGTCAACAAAAGACAATTTATCAATGCTAATTGAATTAGGAATGAAAAGAACCTTCTAGAAGAATCTAGAAGACTAAAACCATTCCTAATTGCATTAGGAATGATAAATCCATATTAGGCCCTCCTTTAGATCATTGGGCCGCATATAAGGCTCAAACGGGGCCCAGTTTAGTAATTTGGCCATAACTTCCTCATTATTCATCAGAATAGGGCTTATAATATATCGTTGGAAAGCTCTTTTTAAACCCATCTAACTACACCATTATTGGACCCTTGCTATGAGCCAACAAAACTAGATTGGCTGTTTTCTTAAAATAGGTTTTCAAAAACACAGAGAAGAGAAAAGAAATAAAAACTATCCGCAACACTAAACTTTCCACACTTTCACATCATTCGATTATGATTCGATGTGAAAGGTACTTATCACCGGATTTGGTTTTGGGGAGACACAAATGCGTGTCTACCTAAGCCCCGACTTTGACTGAGTTTGGAGAAACGAAAATTTCGAAAACAAAAGTCAAAGTATCGATAGGGACGGAGAATGATTCAGAATGTTCTACGATCCTAAATCATTCTTGTAACACCGATACCTGCAAACTAGCATTAGTTATAACAGATAAGAGAATTAAGAAACTTGTATCTTGCACCGTCGAGCACACGTCTATAAAAGTAACTGACTTGTTGATTTTTGCTTTTGCGACATTTTTCCACAATCTAGGGAACGCCATCTTGCTATTTTGATGTTCACTCGCCTTTGAACAACAGAGCTTTTTGAATATGTTCACACATCTCTGAACAAAGAGATTCTTTTTAATATGAGGTTCTAAATGATGTGTCCACGCGTCTTTAAACAAAGAGCTTGATAATAGGATGCCCATGTGTCTCTGAGCAAAAGAGCTTGATAATAGGATGCGCACGCGTCTCTGAGCAAAAGAGCTTGAAAGAATTGTCCATGCGTCTCTGATCAAAAGAGCTTGAAAGAAATGTCCACGCGTCTCTGAACAAAAGAGCTTGAAAGAAATGTCCTCGCGTCTCTAAAACAAAAGAGATTGATGATATTTCTATGCGTCTTTGAGCAAAAGAGCTTTGATGATATGAATGTTTGTTGTGATAATATTCCGAAGAAAACTTCTGAAGACCAACGCTTGTCGATCTTTAAAGCTCGCTTGAACTTTGCTCCCACTATGCCAGTACGTCGGCGCTTTTGCTTCTTTTGAACCATTATGTCGGTGCCTCTGATGTTTATGAACCAGTATGTCGGCGCCTCTGCTGTTTATGAACCAGTATGTCAGTGTCTTGCGATGGGCCAATGCTTAGGCGCTTTAAGCTAAGTGAGACGATCTTTCGTCAGGTCGATCACTTATTGCGATTTTAATCAAGCTGACTACTTAATCATGTCAAATTGCTTATAGGGGCTAACTGGCGTACTAAGGAACCCAAAATTGCTAAAAGAGATTGAAATAACTGCTATAAGTGGCTAAGAGTTCTATCGCCGCTGCAATGCCTCTGGCGCCGCGATTTGGCTCTGTCGACAGTCGCTGGGATCTTGCGCCAGGCGCTGAAATCTGTTACCAGACGCTAGATGTTGCCGTCTTGCGCTGGAGTCGGGTCTTCTCTATTCTGCTCTTGCTGCCGCTGGGATGTACCTTTATTTATCTTTGACTATAAGACTTTGCCAATCTCATTAAGTATATTAGGGTTGACCTAAGACTTAGTGTTGCTTGACTCATTGACTTGACATGACTCAAGGTATAAACTTGACTCACTATGACTCGCTTCATGTGACTCGTGTGTGCATAGTGTTGACTCAATGTGATAGCACGACATGACTCTATGTGCACATGACTCGTGTGTGCATCGTAATGTGATCGTGGGACTCGAAAATGCAAAAAAGCAAAAAATTTCCGTCATTTATTTGTGGAGGGTATCGACTTTCTCCTGAAAAAGAAAGATGCGAAAAAGAATCGAAGTGAAGTTTTTTGAAGATGCATGTTGAATAAGCTTAGTCAAATGTTGTCTCTCACAGTATAAGGATTGTAACATCTTAAACTATCCTAGTTGACTCGATAATGAAAGTATTTAGGTAACTTAGGGGCGGAGGCTAAGAACTTCATACTTCGATGCAATGATGATTATGATTGATGAGTGATTTTGACATGACAAGGCATGCTTCATCGTTATGTTAAGAATTCATGACAAAGGGTTCCTAAGGAAAGTATATTTTGTCATGTATCTGTGCAGTGTGTGAAAGTGATAATAAAGTTAGGCTGCAAGGGCTAAGTGTGTGGAAAATATATTAAAAAGAGTCAAATAATGGTGACTCTTTAGGCTAGGTAAGCTAATGATGTAGGGATCAAGCCTCCAAGTCTAGCTCTAAATAAAAAGGGATGAGCGTTGGAAATTCCTAGATATGATCATAGTGTAAGTGCGTGAATGTGAATATGAATGCATTTTTATTACGGTCGCACCTTGATGTGAGGTTGCCTACGTATCCGTTAGGAATCAGGCCGAATGTAGCTCTAGCCGAACCTCGCACAAGTATGTGTATACCTCAAAAAGGTCTTTTTAAGGGTTGTAACGTGGTTAGGCTAAAGGTTGAAGAAGAAGGGGATAAAAGGCTCATGACCCTAGACAAGCCCCCAAGGCGTGCAACTTTGCATGTGGAATATTTATATTTTTATGCTTGAGGCTTTTTGTTAGTTCTCTTTTCTCTTTTGCTTTAGCATCTATTTTATTTTTTATAAGTCTGGGCAATCACGATCATGCGGTCTATCACTCACTTGGCATTCATGTTTCTCAGGCACGGTACCGAGCACTCGATAAGAGACGCAATCTGAGACGTGTTCATACCAAAGACATTTTCATATCAAAGACATTGGAACACTTGTCCTTCTGTACACTTTTATTATTATTATTATTATTTTTTTATATTTTTTGCTATTTTTATCTTTTGAAGTCACTCAAGCCTTTTGAAGTTATATAAGTTACACACCATCCCATCCCAAGGTTAGGTAGATGTAGGTTGAAAACTGAATGGTCTATCGTTAGACGAGGCTCAAAGTGGTTTACCAAAAAAGGATTGCATATTTGAAGGGTGAAAGGCGATATGATGTGGCTACAAGGGGTGCCTTAAATCATTGGTATACCTTGTGCTTGGTTTGACATGGATTTTTTTTTAAATGCAATGCAATGATCATATGTAAGGAAATAAAATGCTCATTTTATTATAGGAAAAGAAATAATGATCCTACAAAATTAATCTAAGGGAAGAAAGATGCATATGCTAGACTTATTGGGGAAAGGAAAAAATAAATAAAAAAATCACAAAAATATCATGAAATCTTGTCGTTAAAGCTTGCCTCTTGTCCCTTGGCTTATCATCAGTTGGTGTTCTTGCTGAGTGGAGGTGTTGGAAGCCCGTTATTGTCTATCAAATATTGGATTGCTTCCTTTAGTTTCCAACAACTCTTAGTAGTATGACCCCTACCTTAATGTTACTTGCAGCGAACATTTGGGTTCTAACTAGGCAATCTCTTCTCAAGTGAAGGATCTTGAATGGGTCCAATAGGA